CCCCCCCCCCCCCCCCCCGGCAGGGCTCCTCGCTCTCTCCGAGCCTGTCCTCGAATACTCCAATGTATTTCGTATATTCCAAGGCCCTTCGATCAACCTGTTCTCTCTGCTCTTCCAACAATATGCCTTCCAAACTGTTGTTGTATGCACACTGCTGCTGTGTTTTCCTGCGGCACTGCTGTGGGGGACGCTAAAAGCAAAACAGAATAGCACCAGCAAGAATGGGGCGCGAATATTTGCAATCCATGGATTAGAAAAGAGAACCACAGTCCAAACATCCAGACGGATCGAAACCCCGGGAAACCGCCCGGAGCGTCCCCGAAGAGGTTCTCCTCCCTCTCCAATAAAAGCAGCTATAATCACGGCGGCGGAGAGCCGTCTGAAGGCGGCGACACGCACCCGCACGCTGGGGCAAGACGAGGAGACGACACACAACGATAACTGGTGAGATCCCGTCCCGACAGCCGTCCGTGCATCCTCTGTGTCTGTGCCTCACCCTCACCCTCTCTGTGATGTTTTTTTGGAAATAAAATAGCAACGGCCGCACCCGCACCAGCTCCATGTGTGTGTTGGTCTGTCTCTTGTGTTGCAGCCTCCCTCATGCTGTCCCACGTGTCGATGCTGCTCTGTGCCTGTTGTTGCCGTCGTACGTACGTTGGTGATCATATGCCTGCACTGGTGTGGTCAGGCCAGGCCAGGCCCTGCCTGTTGTCCTTGCCGTGTAATCCGGAGTCTTTTCTGGCTGCTCGGCTGTATGGTGGTGCTACAGTGCTGGGCTGGTAGAGGTGCAGGCATCTGTGCACGCACTCGCCTAACCTCTTAACTTCATGTGTCTACCCTCCATGCTCGCGTCGTGGGACCCGTGGCCTGCCGTGCGGTGGTGTCATTGCTAGGAATGCTTCCATCCAGTGCTGCTCTGCCGGCCTCTTACGGTGCTCGTGATGCTGGCGCTGCGGGAGCCTTTGCGGGCTACCCTGTACAAGCCCACCCCGTACAGCAACAACAGCAGCAGCAGATATTGACCACCAGCCCTCCGCCGGAAACGCAGGCGAGACGGGTTGATGTTTGACTAGTGCAGTTCGGCGTGACACCGGCAATGTTTGTTCCGTGGGTAGCACGCCAATGGATTGTCGCTGCTGTGCTGTACCTCGTGCCTTTCAACGCGTGCACGTACGGTTCGCTGTTTTCGTGTACTCAGCGGTGGACGGCGAAACGTTTCATTTGTCTTGTCTTGTGATCAAACGTTGACATGGTGTCCTTCCCTTCCGCCGCGTGGTGCGTTTCGCGTGCGGTTGCAGGCTATGCTTTCACCTCGCACTGGTCTGCCGCCGGGAACTCCGGCCCCTGTGGGTGCTCCCGATGCTGGGGCCGCCGGAGGATTTGCGGGCTACCCTGTACAAGCCCACCCCGTACAGCAACAACAGCAGCAGACATTGACCACCAGCCCTCCGCCGGAAACGCAGGTGACAATGCCCGTAGTGTTGCACCCTCATGCACGACGGGGAGGCTGCGATGGCATGGCTCAACGACGCCATGCATGTGTTGGTCTGGGTGTATCTACAAGAATTTTCATTCTGTGTGACTTGCCCGCTGCATTCGCCTACTCGGTGCTGTAGTACAGTAATCCAGTTCGGGTATTTTTGTGCTCGATGCTCTAACATCCCACTGTGCTGTAGAATCGTCCACACCCCGAAGCACGTGCAGCTGTCTAACCCGTCGTATTGCGGTTTGAAAACTAGGTGTACTTTCCGGCTGTGTTAAAGGCGAAGCTGGAGGCAGTGCAGACGGAGGGAAAGACGCTTGAAGACGTGGAGGAGGAGGTGGTGAGGTTGTGCGCCGGTGAAGGGGCGATCCTTTCTACCGCGAAGTCGACGAGGTGTCGCGACGGCGCAACGGATCGTGTGGACATGAAGAAGCTGATTTGTACCCGAGGCGGGAAGAGCCGTCAACTGGAGTACGAAGCCAGTCTAGACACCGGTAAGCGTTCCATCCGTGGCACTTGGGCATACTAGGAGAATGGTTGAGGCGACGAATACGGGGCGAGTCGCGGGCAAGCCTGTTGTTAGCATGCATGCTTCGGTGCAGGTGAATGCATGACACACCGCCGGTGACACACCGCCTATACTCCGTCTCCCATGTCGTTGCGTGTTGCAGCACCTGGGGTACAACGGCGGAACGTAAAGGGAAGCGCGAGGACTGGTTGTCCGTTTGAGGTACGTAGCTGGTCTCCCGCGGAACATGTCTTGGTGCAGTGGACGGAGAAAGGGTCCAACAGGTGTCTGAGGTCTTCGAGCGTGAGATTGAAAAGATGTCCGAACTGCGTATTTAAAATTGGGGAGGGGTCGGTCGGGTGTCTTGTGATCCATGATCCATGTTGTGATCCATTACACACACACGTATCCCACGTATCCATCGTTTAATTATTCCTCTTCTATCCTTGTTGTGGACCCACCGTTCCGTTATTTCAGGTTAGCGTCCGGCACGCGAAGTCCCACAGGTGGCCCAGGATTAGCAACATGAAGCTCACGCACAACCACAGCGTCGACCGCAAGGCCATCGACGTCAAGCTTCGCCTCGCATCAAAACTAACGGAGGAGCAGCTGGGTCAAGTGAAACAGATGACAAGTGAGAAGATTGAACTCGTTGGAGTAGGTCTACAGTGGCTCCCGTCGTGTCCCACGGTTTGTCATGGTTGGTAGTCATGATGCCGCATGACGAACGGCCCTTGAAGCGTGGTACTGCTGTCGCCTCCACATTGTTACCCTGTTTGTCTGTGACACGCCACATATTTTTGTGCTCCCGGCTCTCCCATACGGCGCAGGTCATGGGATGAAGCCAAAAGAGGTGACAAAAGCAATGAAGGCGTTGCACGAGGACAGCGACATCGACATCAACAAGCGCGCGGTGCAGAACGCGGCTGCCACTGTGCACGGGGCGGAGAAGCCGAGAGATGCCGCCGATGCGTACGAAGAGGTGTGTCCATGTGTCCGTTGAGACTGTTGCCTCTCTTGTTTGTGTGTGGGATGTTGGGTTTGCTCAAGGCGGTAACCGGGCGACAAGACACATACGATCGCAGGTGACAACCGGGAGAATATATGCCCCATGACACCAAACCAAGAAATGTTGGAAGTAAAAAATGTGTGCCGTGCCGTCGTCGTGGTTTTGCGCTGATGCCCTCGATGTTTCCGGGCGCTTAACATGTTGCAATTTCAGGTCATGGCCGCGACGGCCGACGGCGGAGTGTGCGAGATCAAGATAGATGACAGCGGCCGCCTGACGCACATCTGGTGGCAAACGAGAGAGCAGGTAGGTCGCTGGTCGTTGTGCCCCATACGAATATTCCCCAGCCGGAAGGTTTGCTTTCATTTTAGCATCTCGCACGTACCGCTTGGCCGTCCGCAAATGTAGGACGTCTGACCGAAAGCAGGCCGTAGGCAAGGGTGGGGGTGCGTTGTGACGCGTCCAACACACGTCACACCCACAATTAAGTGCTCTCGATCCCCTTCGACGTCATGCTCCGAATACGCAGGTGGCGCTTTGGAATCGGTACGGTCACGTTGCGCTCTACGACGACACCGCCGTCAAGAACAGATACCGGATGCCCCTCGGTGTGCTCGCTGTCATCGATTCGGAGTATCGGACGCGGATCGTCGGCCAAAGCATAACGGCGGACACCACAACGGACACTTTCCTGTGGATGTTGAGGAGTGCGTTGGAGTCTCGCGGGGGGAAGCAGCCGGATATCTTCATCCAGGACGCGGACGCGGCGATGACGGCGGCGGTGCGAGAGGTGTTCCCGGACGCGCTGGCGAGGCGCTGTTTATGGCACCTCAACCAGAACATCATCAAGGCCCTCGCTAAAGTCCTTGGTGGGGACATGAAGGTGCGCTCTACTGTGTGAGTTGGCGTGGTTAGTCTGCCCACTCTAGCCCCCTCCCCCACTCCCGCTTGTATCCCCTGTGCGAGTTGGTGCGTTGTCATGGATCAGTGGCGTTGTCGTCTACTTGGAAGAGTGATATCCAGCGTCTTTGCGTAGACCGTGATGCGGAGACGGCCTCGGCTTCGACGGAAACATACCTCACGACGTCCAGTGCACACAGAAAAAGCAGCAGCAGCAGCAGGTTGTAAGCATCAATGGTATGTCGCTGAGTTTTTTCAACCCTCTCCTCGTCTCGCCTTAGCGCTAACGAAGTGTACGGGGTTGTTGGTGGCAGTCAATCGTACAGACCGGTAGCCCATCGCCCAGGCCCCAACTCACGCAACACCCACCCGGCCCACGTCGTTTGTGTTTTCCGCAGCCTTTCATGGACGAGTTCAGGTGTGTGCGTCAGCAGCTGTCATTGGCGAAGTTCGAACGGAAGTTCAACGCCCTCATCGAAAAGTACCCGAAGGCGGAGAAGTACATGCGAGTGGTATATGACGACCGCGCACGGTGGGCGGAATATGTGTCGCCCCTGGTGTTCTCCGTGGGTTCGTGGACGACATCAAGAGTTGAAGGTGCGTTTATGCGTCATCTGCCATGAGCTTTTTGTTCGAGAACGACAGCGCATATAGTGTTGTCGTTGTTTTTGGGAGTTTTTCTACGTCTGTAGGGGTTTGGGGCGGCTATCTTCCTTGCCCCCTATTTACTATGCCATTGGTGAGTGCTTCTGGACGAATTTATCGTACGCCGTCAGTGAATGACCAGTAAACAACTCCCTACATGACGCTAATGTTTACGACCTCTTCGAAACATGTGGCTGTTGTCCGGCCCCAGTTGTTCGGGATTGATGTACTTGGTCGGTGCACTGCGATCGTCCGGCTCACGTGTACATACATCTGTGGCGATGGGTGCGTCAAGTCATAGGCTTCTCTTTCAGTCGTTTGGCGTACTGCGACTTCGACGATGTCTGATGACACCAATCACTAACCTACGGTTTGGTTTGTGTGTCGCTTCTTGCGTGTTTGTCCGCCGCACACACAACAGGCCAAAACGCCCTCATCAGGGATAAGTGCAACTCGCGCTCCTCGCTTTTGGACGTGGCGAAGTACTTTTCGGGCATCATCTGTTCCCAGAAGGATGCCGCCATGCTGCGTGACGCCATCGACCATCTGCCGCCCAATCGGATGGCGGCTCCACCAGCGACCGCTTTCAAAAGTGTGCTCGAGTCCTGCGAGTTCTCCATCGCGGGCTGGCCGCGGCGGTTCATGGAGCAAGAGATGACCGCGGCCATCACGTTTTGCCAGATGGGTGGTGGGGAGGTGGATGGACCAGAACGCGCGGCAGCTTTGGGACGCACGTTCGAGTACATCGAGGACAAGCTTTGCGACGTCATCTACGTCTTCGGGATTCACGAGCAGCGTGATGACAAGGCCTTCGACTACCTTGTCTTGCTCTTTTCCGACGGTAGTCATCTCTGCCAGTGCCGCACACTCCAAACTCTCGGGCTATTTTGTCGCCACGTGTGGGCGGCGATGATGTACAGCCCCCGATTCAGATTCCACGTAGGCCTCCTGCACGAGCACTGGCTGACGGAAAATGCGAGGGGAACACCGCAGCAGGACTGGCCGGATGTCGCCCGCCCTCGATGGGTGGTATCCAACCGCCACGCTGCGGGAGAAGTGGACGGGGCGGCGGGAGAGGGAGAGGGAGAGGGGGTGGGGGGATGCAGCGGGAGGTGGAAGTCTTTCGTTGGGAGCAGCCAGACGGTGCAGACGGTCCTGTTGGACTTGAAGGAGAAGGGGCCCACGGACCAGGATAGACAAGTGTTGTACGCCGACGTAACGAAGAAGCTCGGGCAAGCCGCGAGTATTTTGTCTGATCGCTTTTCACCGACAGTCGCCGTAGCCCTCGTGGACCAATTTCTGACGATGGTCAATGTGCAAGCAGGCGGGGTGGGAACTACAACCAACCACGGGAGGGCGGGGGGCGGCTCTTTTCATGGCCAACCCTGGAACTGTTCGCCTGCCCGCTAGGACAAGTAATAAAAGACGACCTGGCGCTGTAGAAAGATACACAAGAGGGGGTAGCAAGAGAGCCGCGACTTCGGGGTCCCAACTCTAGTTTCGGTGTTGCATTCTTGGGGTACGTGAGTAGCGGTACGCGGCCCTAGGTTTACGACGTCACCCGGGCATATGCCTGAACGATGTTTTGTCCCCGGCGGCAGGTCAAGGCTCGGTGTGTTGTTTATTTTTCGCTTCCGCGTTTTTGCGCCGATCGCCGTCTATGATGTTGTCGTTTTTGTGTTTGTATGTCTATTTGGTTGTTGCGGTGTAGCGTTCCATGGGACCATCTGGTTCCTGTCCTGTTTTTATTTCGTTTGTTCCAGTTCCTTTTCTTTCTTTCTTCGTCCGCCCCCTTTTTTGCCGTGTTGGGGTCATATCCAGGCCCTTTCTTTTTTTGGTGGGGGTCAGTCTATCATGAAATC